AAGCACAAAGCAGAGAAAATGCAGAGGATGAACACATGTCAAGAGCAGCTAAAAAGGGAGAGAGAGAAGATATGTAAGAGAAGAAAGAGGTGTGGTGAACTGTTTGGTTTGGGAATAGGGATCCAATGTTGACAAAGGCCCACCTCATATTTTCACACACTCTTTCATACGTGAACAGGATGTCAGAATAAGGGTGAACTAAAAACAATACATAAAAACATCCATAAAATCTTTCCCAATGTCATTTTGCAGGTTTTCAGTGCCTCTTGCCCTTAAATCCAGCAGAAAGGATATAAGAGGAAAAAAGACAGAAATGGATCAAATCCAAAATGCTTATTTCTTCTTCTTCAAAAAAAAACACCACACAGAACACCGGATCCTTGCTTGAGAAGCAACCCAAACAGAGAGGAATTGGTTTAAATATTGTGACAGCACACACATGTAATACACAACATGTAATATATTTCTTAGATTTGTCGACCATGTAATAAAACACCCCCCCAATAAAACGAATCACATTTTCCATAAAATTGTCCTGTTAAAAAATCCCTTAGGCTATTGGCTGGGGAAAAACTCTTCCATCCAACCTTCCGTTGAATCCAAATCTGTCCCATCTGACAAGCCGAACGAAACCCCGGCCCCAGCCCCTGATTGGCTGCTGTAACCGTATGCCAGGTCCTGACTGGACGTCCTCTGGTAGCCCTGAGGCTGACCCCCTGGCATGTACGGCCCACCCCCTCCCGATGTTCCCGGCATGCCCTGAGCAGGGCCCTGTCCGAAAGCAGCCATGTTGGGCACACCCTGGTTCATGCCTGGCATCACCATACCCCGCGGTTGGTTGGTCCTTGGTTGCCCTGCCATGTGCGGCATCATCGGCCCACCCATTGCCGCTGGGTTTATCGAACGCGGATCCACCATATTCTGTCCGCCCATCGCTTGTGCGAAATGTTGCTTGGCCATTCTAGGAGCCTGGCCACCTTGCATGGCGTATGCAGGGTTACTGTTAAATGCCACCATGTCGTTTGAAGTCCTTCCGCCCATGGCCTGCATGTTTTGCTGCTGCTGCCACGTCTGGCCTCCGCCTCCCATCATGCTTTGCAGTCTCTGAACTTTGGCCATCGGCTGCCCACCAGGGGCAACACCGGCTGATTTTATTTGCTGCTGCGGGAGGGACGGATTCATTAGCATTCCCTGCCCATACCCGCCTCCAGTGCCTCCGCCGACCATCCCTTGCCCGCCGGCGCCCCCTTGTCTCTGCGCCATCAACATGCCGGGCTGGTTGGGATGGTGCTGCTGTTGCTGCTGGAGCATTTGGCCCATGTTTGGGTTCATACCTTGGTACATCCCGGTCTGTGTACCTGCCTGGCCTCCATAGGCCATGCTCATGTCACCCTGCGAAGGCATGGCACCCGAATTTTGGACGGGTGTCATCTGCAGTATCCCAGGGTTCTGTTGTTGCTGCTGCTGCAGAAGTCGAGCGTTGCGCATGTTCTGCAGTGTCTGGTTCCTTGCTGCCATCTCCTGGGGCGTGCCTAAAATAATTTACAATTAAATAATATTAACTGACATCTGATGTTCTCATTACTTTTCCAGTACATCAAAGACTTGTTTCAATTAAAGTCAAATGGCATAAGGATACACTCTCAAAAGCATAGCGAATCACTGTCAATTGTATATGATGACATAAACTGCACACTGAAATCTCCAGATGTCTGTGCATCAAATTAATAATTCCATGTTTGACACCTTAGAGCTTCAATGAACACATATGTATTACATGTTAAAATTATGTTGACAGGCATCAGACAAAAATTGCTATAAATCTAAATAAAATGTAGCTTTAGATTTTCTGCCTTACAGCCCTAACACATATGACTTGAGAATTTGAGCTTATGAAGCTACATTTCTGATATTGTTGTCAGATTTGACTGTTGATAAGAAATATTGTATTAAATTGTAACTCCAACAGACTTTAGTTTGGGTGAATGGATGTGTGTGTTATACTGCTTCATTAGAAATGCTGGCAGATGCACTGGGTGTTGAAGTGGCCAGGCAGTATTTTAAAGTGTCAATAAGGTGGCACTGAGGAAGAGCTTTTGTCTCAAAAATGTTTAGCACTTTTCACTTTTTTACGGCCTCTGAATAAGTATTAAATAAAAGATTTTTGAGGAGGTTATAGCCCTGCATATAACCGTGTGCGGATTGTCATTTCTGCTGGCTTCATGTTGATTTTGGATCTACGCACCGGACTAATTGTGTGACTTGATTTTGGGCATCTGGCGCTGCTCCTCTTCTGTGACTTTAAAGTGTCAATGAAAAAATGATTTCTTTTCATTTTGAAATCGAGAAAAGCATTTATAGGTTTAAAGGAGGAGTTGTGATTTACTTCAGGTCCTTACATTGCTTATATATTAACACCATAAGCCATTTGGCCACAAAGTAATGTGGTCATTATATATAGTGGCAAAGTGTTTAGTGTTTGGGCATGGATATTTTTTGTGTATTTGTATGTGTGCCTTGCCTTGAAACTGCTGGAGCGGGTATGGATTCCTCTGTGCCTGACTCATCTGTCTGGGGAGATGCTGCTGCTGTTGTAACTGGAAAAAGAAAGCAAGCAAAGCAGAAAAAATGCATGAATATCAAAATTCCTTATCAATAATTACAAACAACTGAACAGAAAGCTGAACTCCGAAGCCACGAAGGGTCAGCAGCTGCTTGCACACTCATAAAGGTGACTATTTCATAGGAGTATAAACAAAAGCCCAGCACTATCACCTGTTCTGCCAGCATGTGCTGCTGCTGCTGCTGCTGTTGTCTCTGTTCTCTCATAAGCTGTGCTTTCTGCTGCTCCATCAGATGGAGCTGGACCCTCTTTTCCTGCTCCATAGCCATCATCTGCTTCATCATGGCTGCCTGTTGTTGCTGCTGTGGATTGGGCATATAACTGCCGGGCCCTGCCCCGTTAGGCCCTGCTGAGGTCACTCCCCCCGGTCCTCCATGAGGTGGCTGGACTCCACCAGCCTGTCGCGGCAGTCCAACCACACCTTCCTACAAGCACAAGAAAAGAGAGCTGATCAGAGAGTGTTCTGTATAACAGACGATTCATTTAATCTATTCAGTCATTAAATTATTGACAGCTAAGACACATAATACTGTTCTAATTGCTTAACTGATTATTTTCAGGTTGAATTGTCATTTGATCTCTGGGAACTGGCTTCATTGGTACTAAATTAAACAATATATATATTACATAAACTACAGTTCAAAAGTTAAAAAAATTTTTTTTATACTGTTATTCAGAAAGGATGCATTAAACAGATCAAAAGTGACAGTAACTGTTTCAAGAGTGTTAGAGTAATGTCACAAAAGATTTCTATTTCAAATAATTGCTGTTCTTTTGAACTTGTATTATTCGTTAAAAAATCCTGAAAAATGCATCATGGTTTCCACAAAAATACTGATAAGAAGCATGATTTCTGAAGGATCATGTGACACTGAATACTGGAGTAATGGCTGCTGAAAATTCAGCTTTATTATTCACAGGAATAAATTAGTCTAAAATACATGAAAATATAAATAAATTATAAATATTTCACAGTATTACAGTTTTTACCCTATTTCTGATCAAATAAATGTAGCCTTTGTGAGAATAAGAGACTTCACATGTAAATACCTTTCAATTTAATACTGCAGTAAAAACAATGTTAACATCAATAATGTAAATGGACGTGTCCTTTCCATACCGAGACTTTCAAAAATACTTTAGCCAAGAATAACTGTAGAATATATTTGTACAATGTCATAAATTAAACTTGGTACACTTTCATTAAAATTCATTTCCTAATGAACAAAAATAAAAACTCGCAAATTTTAAGGAACACCAAAGATGATAGGAGCTCTTTATACCCCTCTGAATAGTGGTTAAGGTAATATAAATGTACTTTTACTACACTGGAAACAGACTGTGGTCTTGTCTGAGACAATATAATCTGAAATCCAAAACAAAGAGCAATGAGACCCAGACCACGTGTTATATGGATTTATAAGATCTGACGTCCAAGAAAACTAAACTGAGACACCAAGTAACTATGTTTTCAGGCCTTTTACTACTTTTTTATAGGAACAGTGAGAGCTAGGATAGAGAATGTTAGGCAGAGGAGGGGGGAACTGTTGCAAACTGGATTCAAACTCACATCATCCACGCAAGCACCAGTGTGCCCGAGCACATTCGCTAACCGCAAGGCTTCAATCTGGAGCGATCATTTTATTTAAACCAGCTCTCCACGAGGCTCTTATAACAGAATGAATAATGAGGCACAAACATGCACACGCCACAGGAGATTGTTCAGATAAATCTAGACCAGACCGGTCAATGAGCGCAAATCTGTGTGTAGACAGCTGGATCTCTTCTGTTAACCAGTCATGCTGTCCAAACCTGTGCCGATCAGCACGTACGTATCTGTGTTGAACGCCGGACAGGCCAGATGGGGGCAGTGTTGATCTCCCGCCCCCCCCCAACTCCTTCATTCTCTTTCTCTCACTCCCTTTTTGAGTCGTCATCTATCTCTATTTCTTCCACCTCTGTGCCCATGTCTTCATTCCGATCTCCATCTTTCCCTCCTTCCTCCACATTTCCCTTTACCTCCTTTCTTTTTCTTCTCTTTCACCCTCACCGCCTTACATACTCTTTTTCATTACGATCCCCTCATCCCCCCCTTTCCCTTCAGCTCTCTCTGCAGATGGCTTAATCATGAGTGGTGTAAAAGATGTGTCTCCCTTCTTCCTGCCAGATAATGTGTGTGAGCCAAAGACTCCTCAGCCGATCATGGAGAGAGAAAGAGATGAGGGGTGAGAGAAAAGGACTCAAATGACAGAAAAACATTAAAGAGAGGTTGAAAGAAAAAAACAGGAAAGAGAGACAGAGATAGAGAGAGCGAAAGCAGGTAGCCAGGCAACAGTGGCTGTAATGTTGAGCAGATGGTGCTCATAGGAGCCATGATGGACGACAGCGGGCAGCAGCTGAGAGAGAGAGAGAGACCGAGCGAGAGCAGCGTAAATTAAGTCTCTCTCTTTCATCCTCTCCTCCTCCTCTTCCTGTCTCCATTGCTGATTCCATATCCATCTTTTCTCTTTCGTTCACACATGTGTGAACCACTCTTGATCCTACTGTTCGTGCTTTGTCATCTTTCTCTGAAACTAAACTGTCAGCCGAAAAGATTGTTGAAGACTGTATGGGAGGATCAGTGCAAATACAGTAAGAGTGTTTTGTATAATAAGACTGTTTATAAACTGAATGATTACTGAACTTGAAAATGTTACTGAAAGGTGTAGTAGTGCGTATTTTCTGCAGCTCTAGCAAAACCAAAAAAGTAATTGGGGGAGTCTGTTTCCAAACAGGTTTCCAGGATATTCCTACTGCCAATGTTTAGGCAAACAAGTAGCCCCCAAACTCATGCCACTGGTCTAGCCAGAAGCTGTCATGGTGGACTGCCCAATCAAACAATGATGTTTTGAAACCACCACAGAACTTACACTCTGCTAAGACGTCAAATGGTTCAATTACATTTACTTACTAACGTTTTAAGTTTGAGAAATTTTGAGAGGGGAAATTTTAAACTAAAATTTGTAATTTCTGTAGCACCAGCATCTCCAAATGGAACTGAAAATAACTAAAATAATGACTTCCTGCACAATCTGAATCTGCCATTGGTCAGATAAACAGATAGTCCCTCCCCAACCACACAAAATTAGTTGAGCAAATGTTGCTGTTGTCAGGCTGGTCAGGAATCAAACAATCATAATGTTTTGCTAGTGCCACAGAGTCAGAGTATTTAGATTCTTAGGAGAAATCAGCCTACAAATGGCTTACGTACAGTTGTCTAAGCACATTGAAAGTATTTTAAAATATAACTGACACTCTCAGCTAGGTGAAAGCATTAAAGTCACCATGAAATCAAAATGGAAAATTCTTATTTTTGAATGGAATACTGTATTGTTTATTATAAATAATTTATCCGTGCACTTCATTATTTTTTTTTTTAATTCATGTGCCCTCGTAATCTTTAATCAAAAACGTTAACCTCCCCTCCCCCTCAAAACAACTCCTCTTCAGGTCACGAGCTATGGTGCAAGGGCGGAGCTACCTGGAACTGCCAGCAGCTGCAGTGACATCAGTGACGTTTGGAATAAACGACAGGGGGAACAGCTGAAGCTGATGCTTCACTTTATAGCACTGACACCAGTCATGAGGGAGTACGTTACCCCTAAACATTGAAAAGATATTAGGATATTACGACAACATTACTCATCGCAAACTAATTTTTTTCATGAATATGACTTAACCTGATGGAGGACGCACTCAGTCATTCAGGCAGTCTCTCTCTCTCTCTCTCTCTCTCTCTCTCCCTCTCTCGTTTTGTGCCGTTGATCGTCATTGTCATCCTTAATAAATAAAACATTTATTCATGCTTGGGTGCCGGCTGTGAATCCAGTGGAGAGAAATCCCCACCACTAACTGCAAACTGGCATTCAGATCTGCCTCCATTTTGTTAGCAACGCCCCAGCTTCCAACAATCCAATCAATTCCCGAAGGATGAAATCAAGTCCTGCCCTCTCATTTCAGATGCCGTTTCACTCGGATATGCGTCACAGCAGAGAAGAAAAGACAATCGCAACTTCCGTTTCATGCCGACTTTAAGTGCAAGGTTTTACCAAAGGCAACAAACAAACACAAACAGGCAAGACTATCCGATGATGGCGAACTCTAAATGTTCAGCTCATCTGCAGTTGTTAAAGGTGTTGGAGGATGTGCTAAGGAAAACAGCTCACTGCAGTTTGCACAAAGCAATACATAGTGCAATACAGAGAGTCAGAGTGATTGCTTTCATTGATCTCATGTATACACACACAAACACACATTGATTACCAGTAGTGAGCCTTGGCCCAGATCAGACACTAATCTGAGGGGCTTGCTCACAACATCCTCTCTAATAATACACCACGCGCCAACACACAGCCCTCATGAGGGTGTTTGGGAGTGTGGGTGGTGGTAGTAGTGACTGGCCAATTCAACAAATCTGAGCTGAATACTGACAGACGAGCACATAAACTCAAGCTATGACAAATGTTAAAGAATTTTGGCAATACCAAAGATGATGCATAAATTTAGCTTCGGCTGATCATTTGCAAGTTCAGGCTCAATATGGCTTAAAGACTCAAGAGAGGAAGTTTCAACTGCTCTCAACTGGTTGACAGATTTTTGAATGCCTGAAATCAAGAGAGCAGGGTGGTGGCATATTTATACTTACACACTTCCTATAACTACTGCTCTTATATTTATGCATAATGTTTTTATGCAAAACAGCTTGGTGCTTTAATCAAGTTCATGCAATCCCTGGTAATTGAACTTCCGACCATCGCATGGTATGTTTTACTGTTACTCTCAAGCAGCACTATCCTTAGAAGGATTGATTAAACAGAATGATGAAATAAAAATACACTACAACAAAGGTGTGGAGTGGCCGCTGTCTAACAAAACCACCAGGTGCTGCTGCCGCCATCATATTATTTGCTTGAATATCAATCACGTCAAATCTACTGAGAGCATAAACAAATGAGAGCTTGGCAGGCACAGGATCACCAGCCAAAACCAAGAACTCACAAATTCAATTTGCAATTACATCACAAATGGCGCTTTTCCACTGCGTGGTACGACTCGGCTCGGTTTGCATTTCCACTGCAGCTTAGTACCACTTTAGAATGGACGGGATTATTCACATGTCGTTATAGTTGTGCCGCCTCTATTGCCGTGACTCCTGAAAAACTTTTTTCATTCCGCATCGCCCCATCAAGCTCTCGCTGGATCCGCTCCACTATCAACGAGAGGAACGTCTGTACTTCATCCAACAGACCACGAAACCGCCATTTTTTGGTTGTTAAAAAAAAGGTGCGCTCGTTCAAAACAGTTGTATCCGATCCTTTGCTGGCTGTGCTGATTTAAATCTAGCGGTTCTGTTGTGTTTGTGTCGCAAATTCAGTGACGCGGGTAG